TTTTCATTTAAAGAATTGCAAAGAAAATCTGGAAAAGTCGCGATTTTTCACGAAAATCGGGGACTAAAATCGGAAAAAATCACCAGTCTAAGCGATTAATCGGGCTAATAAATCGCGATAAAATCGACGATTTTTGCGCGATTTTGACGACATGGGATGTTAAATACATATATATTCTTATACTAGAATTGATAATTTATTTTCGCTTTAGAAAAAGTTTGAATGAATACGAAAAATCTACAAATGCATCTCCTTCGAGAACAAAATGTTTCAATGACTCGAAAACGAAAAAGTGTGAGTATGGGTGTGTTTCTTCTCAATCCCACTAAACTTCTTTCTTTCTACTTGTTCAGAACAAAATGAACGTGTCTCTTTGTATTGAAGCGGATCTTTCCAAATGCTGACACCGATTGGTTCTTACTTTTCGAATGAAAAGAAAGCGTCAATGCACAAAAAATCTCTGTTGTGGTGCAATAACTCTTGTGTTGATAACATACAGAACGTGTGTGCGCATTGACGTCAACTCTTCTTTTCAATCGTGCTTCATTTCATTTTTTACGATCGATCTTCACATGACGACAGCAACATTTAGTGTAGCTTGTATGAAATGCAGCAAAATAAAGGACACGATAATGTGTAACGGATGTTCACAACATTTTTGTTTCGATCATCTCGGTGAACATCAAAATGAACTGAGTGAACAACTGGATATAACCAAAGATCAATACAATCAGTTAAAACAAACGATCAACGAAGTAAGGACTGACTCAGGCAAACATCAGTTGATGAAACAAATTGATGCATGGGAAGGAGAATCAATCGAAAAGATTCGACAAATGGCAAATGAAGTTCGAAGTCAGCTAGCATCACTTATCACCGGTTTTCTAACTGATCTCGATAGTCAATTGAAAAAATCAACTGACGACTTGGCACAATGTCGTAAGGCGAATGATTTTGCCGATAAGGAAATTCAGTTTTTCAATGAAGAACTCGGACGAATGGAAAAAATGCTAAACAGACCACTCAATTTCAACATTAGACCAAAATCAACATCTTTCATCGATGAAATCTATCTTGAAGTTAGCGGTAGCGGTAAGCATTCTGTTTTATTTGATATGGAAAGAATGAATAACAAGTTGTTTTTTTCTGATTTGGTTTTCTCGATTAATCACATTAAATGTTCTATCCATTCACTGTATTGTCGATCGTGGAATTTTCGACATCTAGAATATGTTATTAGTATCAAGACAGATGCAAGATGTCACATCGAATCTTTCTTTTCATTCGGTTGATGTATTAGAGAAATGCTTCGAAATAGGAACCAATACTATTCATATATACTTATCATATTTGTTTATATTCCATAGTGCTGAAATAGCATTTCAAGTTGCTTGCAACTATTTTCATTTAACAAAACACTTGCCATTTGAAAGTAAAATATTTAATGCTTGTTTCGAGTTTGTTTGATATCAAAACTCCATGTCGATCATTTTTCCGATAAAGAAAGAAATCCATTTTGAATTTCATATCAACGAAAACGAAGTGAATGGTCTCTGCACACTCTATCGATCGACAATTGAATGGATCATAATGAAAGATGAAAAATAAGGAGAAACTTTGAAAGAGAATGAAAAGATAAGAAATAGTGTCAATCTTTTTTATCCGAATCGAATCGAGCTAATCATTTTTCTCTTTAGTGTTCAAGGAAAACTTTCATCGACCGAAATGTTAAAATTGATCTCCGGTGAAAATGTCTGTAGAAGATTTGTTGGAAACTGCTTTTCGTTCAGAAACAAACACTTAGAATATCAATTTTACTCCGCATTCGAGTCCTTTGAAATAGGTCAGAAGAAAGTGAAGAACCAAATATTAGACATTGACATCAATCGTTGGTATAATTCGATCGAATATTGTGATCGATAGCTTTGATTTTATTATTTCGAATCTTTCTATTATGTACACATTGAGATAAAGTTATAAAGGAATATTGAATGTAATCTTCAAATATTATTGCAGTTTTATTTCCCCAAATGGAGATGAAGAAATTCTCTATATCATTCAGCTGTTAGATGACATTACCGACATCGAACGACAAATCTTGTGCGATGGGTCAACACCGTTTTTGTTGCCTTCTTTATTTTGGATAGAAAATCAAACGAAAATAAAACCATACCACTAATAGTTGACAGATTGATGAAAGTGTGAGACATGTAGATTCTCTCAATCAAACGCTTAGTTTCTAAGTTTATCTCTGTCGCAAAGATGAAGTTCATCCACCTATTTTCTTTCAGCCGTTGATACTAGTGAAATATTTCTCTTCGAAAATTCTCATTAAAGAAAGTTCAGAATGACAGCTATGTGATAAATTTCAAAGTGCCACCTTTTGTAGAGTCTTTAACCCAAAACCAATGCTCACTAGTCTAATTTCAAAGAAATCAAGACTATTCTTTCGAAACCCATCTGACAATCGTATATTCTTGATTGTTCTCTTTGAATCACACGTTCAATTCTTCGAGATTTCTAGGTAAAACATTGCTGAGTAACGTTTATGATTTTTGACATAAATTTATTTCGACTAGATGGATCAATATATCACTCCATCTGTGTTGACTTTGCACGTATTTCTGTCTAGTTTCAAGAACAGTCTGAAGATCAGATGTTATAGATAAGTTGATTAGCAACGGTCACAAGACATGTAGTTCATACAGCTTCATTATTTCGAGAGTTGAAATGATCAATGGGATATTGATGTGGATTATCAATTACCGAATATTCTCTTGCATGGTCCCTGTAAAGGGCTTGAATAGGTCCATCCGGTTGTGCAAGAGTAAAGAGCTTTATGATCGACTCGATTTCATAACAATATTCACTCGAAAATACTTAACGAGACAGATGGATGTAGATAGAAATTGAGAGGTATTTTCGATCAGATAGAACTATTCCAGCAGCTATTGATTGTTACAGGCAAATCACAGTGATGCTGTTTTGATATCCAGTGTTCTCTACCGAGAATAACCATATTCATCAAGGTACATTGATACCAACTTAGTGATCCATGTTGTATTTTTTTTTCAGCACTACTGTTGCCTAGTGCCAATCGCGATGCCACTGCTAAATGGATTCAGAATGCTGTCTGTGTTGCTGGAGGAAATGGATATGGCACTGGAATCAATCAAGTAACCTATCCATATGGTTTGTTTGTAGATGATGACAATCAAACTATCTACATTGCTGACTCCTCGAATCACCGTATCATGGAATGGAAATATGGTGCGACAACCGGTCGAGTTGTAGCTGGTGGAAATGGACAAGGCAACCGTGCTGATCAATTGAACTATCCAAGAGATGTGATTGTCGATCGAGAAAGAGATTCTCTCATTATTTGTGATAATCAAAACAAAAGAGTAGTTCGATGGCCTCGACAAAATAGTACAAATGGAGAGACGATCATCACTGATGTGGAATGTTGGGGCTTGACCATGGACGACAACGGATTTCTCTATGTTGTTAATTATGATAAACATGAAGTGAGACGATATGGAATGGGAGATACTCAAGGAACAGTGGTGGCAGGTGGAAATGGACAGGGCAATCATCTCAATCAACTGAACAATCCAAGATACGTCTTTGTCGGTCAAGATCATACTGTGTACGTATCGGATTTGAGCAATCATCGTGTGATGAAGTGGATGGAAGGTGCGAAACAAGGGATTGTTGTAGCTGGTGGTCAAGGCCAAGGAAGTGCTCTCACACAGTTATCATATCCTGATGGAATGGTTGTTGATGAATCAGGTACTGTGTATGTCTCTGATTGCGGTAATTGTCGAATCATGCGTTGGCCTGAAGGAGTCACACAAGGAAGCATTATCATTGGTGGAAATGGTCTAGGAGATCAAGCCAATCAACTCAATCTTCCCACTGGTTTGTCGTCTGATCGACAGCGTAATCTCTATGTGAGTGATCATCACAATCATCGAGTACAAAAGTTCAACATCGATCGAAGTGCATGATGGTAGAAAACGACTTTTGCTTCACTGTTTTGATGGTAATTTTGACTAACAAGGAAACTTCACCAACGGATATCCTCCGTTTGAGCTCATATTTTGCTCATAGGTGTAACGATGGTAGATTTATTTCGTGTTTTCAACTCCCTTTATTTCGCTATTTCCTTCTCTTTTATACCTGCGTTCCACTTCAACGCGTTTCTATCAAGAGACGAGGAAAAACATACAGAGAGAGATATACAGAGAAAAGCATACAGAGAGACATACAGAGAGAGAGACATACAGAGAGAGAGACATACAGAGAGAGAGACATACAGAGAGAGAGACATACAGAGAGAGAGACATACAGAGAGAGATATACAGAGAGAGATATACAGAGAAAAGCATACAGAGAGACATACAGAGAGACATACAGAGAGAGAGACATACAGAGAGAGATATACAGAGAGAGATATACAGAGAAAAGCATACAGAGAGACATACAGAGAGAGAGACATACAGAGAGAGGCATACAGAGAAAAGCATACAGAGAGACCTACAGAGAGAGACATACAGAGAGATAAACAGATATCGCTGTATATGAACAATTGTGTGTACGAACGGAACACGATATTACATACATACATAACCAACACCTAGAATAGGTGCCTACTTCGGCACACCCCTCCACCGAGACGAGACGCACTCCTGGGCGTCTAGTTGACGGCAAACGAGATGATAGAACAGGTGCTTAACCAAACATCGGGTAGAACACCACCTAGTAGAACATTCCTTGAGCGCAGAGAAAAAAAAATGATAATAGAGAAGCGAGACAACAAAAAAAAGGAAAAAAACGACAAATATACACGTGAGAGCAAACCCTTGCTCTACTGAGTACGACAATTTCGACAAAAAAAAATGGAAGGAGGAAGGAAAGGACGAAATAGAGAAGAGGAAGGAAAGAAAAAAAAATGTTTTAACTAGTTCCTTTGCACCATATGTACATAAGCGTCTTCATCAGATTGGTGGCATTGTGATCATTTCCGTTGTTGATGTCTTGCTCACTTTGTTTCGTAGCCTCAGGTATAGAACTATTGAGGTGATAGTTGTTACACCCAATATACCTATTGCTATTGATAACCCATGTTGATAGAATGATGTTGTTGATTGTATCGATGTTGGTGTTGTTGTTATTATATATTCGATCATATTCTTTATATTCCCCGGAATGTACGGGATTTTTTCCCATTGTGTGTTATTGTTCATTGTTTGGTGTAGATTGATTAAGTTCGAATCGTCGTAGTTCAATTTTCTGTCATCAATAATTGTAATCCGTTTATCCGTGCCATTTGCTATACCTGGTAAAAGGAAATGATCACAGCTCCATGTTGTTGATTTATCGATGGTGATCAATGAGATTGGAGGAATGGTTATTTCATTATTCGTTGTTATGGCATGTTGTTCGTGCTCTAATTGTGGAACACGGTGACACCTTGTTTCATTTATTGTCGATATTGCCCATTGTGGGCCAATTCGTTGTATAAATATTGGTTCAGGTTCGAGTTCGATGCGACATAACGTCAGGTTCGAGTCTGTAACTATCTCGAATAAGCATGTCTTCTGCCAATTCTTATGGACTGCTGGAGTTTCACGGCACGACGATAGCAATTTAAATTGACATGAACTGCTTTCTTCTTTTGTCCATTGAATTAGTTCTAATGTTTTGCCTGAGATGCTAACAGTATGTGGCATTTGTGCGAGTTTTAATCTCTGGTTTCCTTGGTTAAAAGGTATTGGAATGAGTTCGTATGTTGAGAATGATTGTTGGTTCTTGTTTGATGATGCAAAAAATGATGTAAATAACAGGTGACCAATCACACTTCGTTCTGTTGATTCTTTGATGTTGCTTGCAATGAAGTCAATTCGTTGTTGTATTAATAATCGATTAATCAATTCGAATATTGGAAGTGTATCGTCCGTTTCCGCCATGTTTATATGGATTTGTTCTGTAATGATTTGTATGACTCGTGGTAAGTCGTAGTGATGTATAAATCTTAGATTAAGTTTATTGGCGAAGATGTCTTCGATGGCCTCGTGTATGAAGTGGGTCTCCACTGCGTGAGTCACAGCTGTTAACTCCTTTTTGAGGAGCCTCACCATTGACATCATCGTTTGAATCGCTATGCGATGTTGTTGCAGTACATTTGAATGTTCATTTACCAAAACAATGGTGTTGTTCAAAGCAGCCTGTGTGTGATGTAGTTCTTCTATAATTTTAACTTGACCTTTGGTCAGTTGAAAGAGTTGACTGTTGTGGCTGCTCATTGAGTTTTGTATTGTGCGGATCGATGTTCTGTCTGATTTTATTTCCTTCTGTAGGTTGTTCATTTGTATTATATTGCCGGCTGATAATGCCGTTGAAACTGTTCCAATGGCAATTGAAATAATGTCCATGATGAATCGTTTATTTCGTGACTGTATTGTATGATTTTTTCCTTCCTGCTGTTGTATGATGTTTGTTGTTGTTTCACGTTCATTTTTTTCTTGTCTTGTTTTTATGTTGCATTGAGGAATTTTTTTCATGGCTTTCCATGGTATTATATAGCACATGTCGCTCACCATGGGAATTGCTATTGAAATGGATGTTACGTCGTTTGCTGGTTTATATTCCGATAAATATTTCATTATAAGGCCCGATGATTTGTGTAGTGTATCACGTTTGGGCAGAAGAATTGTCGTTGCTGTGCCGACTTGTATAATACATATTACTATTAGGATTTGCATCGTCGTGTTGTGTTGCATCTTCTTTTAACCAAGTTATGAAATGTACCTGGCGCTTGTTAATGGAGAAATAATCCTCCTCCTCCTTCTTCCTCTTCTTCTTCTTCTTCTTCTTTTTTTTTTCTTTTTTTTTTTTTTTTTTTTTTTTTAAAGTGCATCAATTCGATTCATTGGTTGTTTAATGATAATTTCGTTTCTTTCGCTAGAAGTGATTGGTTTTCGTGTCGAATCGATGATATCAGCTGTGGTTTAATTCGCCATGTATCGTGTCGGCACCCTGCGGTGACGATTTGACACTCGGCGTTGAATTGGTTGATGATAGGTTGATTGTGGATTTTGACTCTCCTTTCCTTGATCTAGATCATCTATTGATGGCTCGTCATTATTGATTGACGTTGTCGTTTCTCTTGGATTGATTGTTTTGTCGTTTGTTGTTGTTTCTTGATTGTTTCTCTCTATTACAATGTATGGTTTGAGGCGATCTGTATTCGTTGCCCCAAGTTCAACGTTATCCTTTAGCCGTCGTACCGTGAATGTATTTGATGATAATTGCTGGATTAGACGGCATGGACCTTGATAATGTGGGTGTAATTTTCCACCCATTGAATTTTCTCCAATTTGTGCTGTTGGAGTGGCTACCCATACGAGATCACCTTCAGTGTATTCTCTTTGTGTTGTATGTTGATCATATTTTTCTTTTTGTTTTATCTTTTCAATTTCTGCATGTTCTTGAATAACATTATATGCACATCGTAAATTGTTGATCAACTTTCTCTTGTATTCTTGAATTAATCCGTGATCAATTGTTGTTGATCTAGGTCCTTCTGTTGTTTCACCTACTAATAGATCAAGTGGACCTCTGAGGTCTCGACCGAACATCATAAAAGCTGGAGTTTCACCTGTTGTTTCGTTCACCGCGGTACGTATTGCAAATGCTAATGTTTGAATTTCATCGTCCCATGAATTGTATTGTTGTTGAGCATATATGGCAATTAACGGCTTTAATGTTCTATTGACACGTTCTGTCATGTTGCTTTGTGGGTGATAATTTGCAGTTAAATTTTGTTTAATACCTAATGTATCACAAAAATTTTTAAATAAATTTGAGACGAATTGAGGGCCATTATCAGATACAATGTGTTGTGGCAATCCATATCTTGAAAATACTTCGTTCATGAGAATATTGGCCATATCGGTAGATGTAGTTGACTTCAGCGGAAATAGTTCGATCCATCTGGTGAAGTAGTCTACCACGACGAGAAGAAATCGTTTTTGTCTGGCCGTTGTCGGTAAAGGACCCATAATGTCTATGCCGATCGTGTGCCATGGTTCATTCACTAAGTGCATTTGCATTGGGCTTGCTGTTGGAGCATTATTGTATTTAAATTGTTGACATTGTCGGCAAGCGGCTACGTACTTAAATATATCCTTTCTCATTGATTCCCAGTATACTCTTGATGTTAATCTAAATAATGTTTTTTGTTGACCGCCGTGTCCAGCTGTTGGATGATCATGTGCCCATTTCAATAACTTATCTTGCATTGTTCTTGGGATGACTACCAGGTGTTTTTCACCGACGACGCGTTGATTATAATGTTTGTTGGAGTTTTTAATTTTATACAGTAATCCATTGATGAGAATATATGGGTTTCGTTTACCATTGAAATCTGTTGGTTCCGTTTTTAAAAATTCGATTATTGGTTTTAATTTCAAATCGTTTTCTTGTTCTTTTTTTATATCGCTCAGAATGTTTGTATTTTGCCATAAGTTGACAGCTGTTTCTATTGATGACACTTCATGTTGATTAATGTCCTCTCTTGGTAATGGATTACGTGATAATGAATCAGCGTTACCGTTTAATTTCCCTGGGCGATATTTGATTTCTTCAATTTGATAAGCAGATAATTTCATTGCCCAGCGGGCTAATCGACCTGTTACATCTTTTGACGATCGCATCCATTCTAATGCTTTACAATCTGATCTGATATAAATTTTATTACCTTCGAGGTATGGCCGGAAATATTTTGTTGCCCATACAATGGCTAATGCTTCATGCTCTGTTGCTCCATAATTTCTTTCGGCTGTTGACAATGTTCGACTGGCGTACGCAATCACGTATTTTTTCCCATCGTATTCTTGTGTTAATACAGCCCCTAAGCCATATTCACACGCGTCGAGTTCCAATATAAATGGTTGATTGAAGTTTGGTGTGTTCATAATTGGCGCCGTTGTTAATTTTTCTTTTAATGCTTCAAAGGCGTTAGTACATTCTTTCGACCATTTCAACTGATGGTTACCTTTTTGATTGTTTCGAAGCTGTTGTGTTAATGGTTCCGCTATTTTTGAGTAATCTTTGATGAAGCGACGATAATAACCGGTTAAACCAAGGAATGATTGAACGTCTTTGATCTTCTTCGGTTGAGGAAAATTTGATACTGACTTGATTAAATTTGAATCCGGTTTAATACCCTCTTGAGTGATAATGTGTCCCAAATAACGCATTTCTCGTCGGCAGAATTGACATTTTGATGTTTTCAATGTTAAATTTGCGGATTTAAGCGCTTCAAATACTTTTTCCAGATCTATTAAGTGTTGTTCGAATGTTGGTGAGAAAATTACTACATCATCGATGTATACCAGGCAGCATTGCCACTTGAGACCGGCTAACACCATGTCCATTAATCTTTGGAACGTAGCTGGTGCATTTGTTAATCCGAATGGCATGACATTAAATTCAAATAGACCTTTATGTGTTACGAAAGCGGTTTTTCTTCTTGAATCTTTGTCCATCTCGACTTGCCAGTAACCGGAGCGTAGATCCAATGTTGATACAAATTTTGCTTGTTGCAGTGAGTCTAATGTATCATCGATTCTTGGTAGTGGGTAAGCATCACGAATTGTTACTGCGTTTAGTTTTCGATAATCGACGCAGAAACGGAGTGTTCCATCTTTTTTCGGTACTAATATCACTGGTGATGCCCATGGGCTGGTTGATGGTGAAATAATTCCTTGTTCTAACATGTCTTTTATGTTCTGTTCAATTATTTCTTTTCTTGCTGGAGCATAGCGAAATGGTGGTGAATTAAATGGTTTAGCATCTGGAACTAAATTAATTTGGTGTTGTACTTTTTTTGTTCTTCCTGGCTGCTCGTTGAATACATCAGGAAACTTTAGAATAAGTTGCTTTATTTTTTCTCTTTGATCTTCATCTAAATCAGTATTAGTCAGATTTAACTCACTTCCAGCTGTTGGTGCCGCTTGTTTTGTTGTTGAACGCATTTTTTCGTGTTGCACCATGTTGATTTGTGCTTGATTAAGACGAGTCATTGTCGCGAGTGGTTGATTTTTATAGATGATAATCGTTCTTTCTGTTAAATTAGCCACCTGGAGTGTCATATGTTCCTTTGGTCTGATAATGCCGTTGGCTACACATGGAGTTTCTTTCATCGTCGCTACTTCGTAATCATTTCTTTCATCTTCTTCCATGTTTGAAAATGATTTATTTGGTTTAACTTCGATGTTGAATGCATGGAAAGGTGAAATTTTAATACGTTCATTTGCCCTTAAAACATATTTATCATCATTATTAATTGTTTCTTTCCTTTCCTGTTGCAGCTGTGCACTTTCTTTCTTCGATTTAAAGTATGCGTGCTGTTGTCCGCCATCTATTTGAAGATTGTGTTCCCGAATTAGATCATTACCAATAATACACGTACGCCATAATTTCGGCACCACGTACACTTCATGTAGACGAGTTGAATTTGAGATGGTTATCGGGAGAGATAAAACGTATTTAACATAGAGTTGTGATCTATCCGCCAATTGAAGGCATAAATTAGGAGGAGGAGGACGAGCTCTTTGTCGATAATATCGTGCTAATTGAAGAAAAAATTGCAAGTTAATTAATGTGAGTGACGCTCCTGAATCGATAAGTAATTTTGTGCGTCTTCCTGCAATCCCACCTGGTAATATTAATGGAGTATTGTGGTGCATATTCACGGTATGAATTTCGGCGGATAGTTGGACGGGATGTTTTACATTGGAGCGCCATGGGCCCATCCACCCTGTGCTCCGTTGGCGTTTTTTGGGTAATGCCATGTGTTTTGATGTTGGTAAGTGTTATATTGATATGGGCAATGTTTTTGGAAGTGTCCTTTTCTTCCACAAGTGTAACATTTCGCTTCGGTTGATGAGTAAAAGCTCTGTTGGTGAGCTGTGGGATGTGTTGATTGATGCGCTTGTCTTGTTGTCATATAATTATTTTTATTCTTGCTTGCCATTACATGTTGTCTGTTGTTTGATCTTGTCTGTTGATTCAACTGATGTGCCGACATTGTCTGCACCTCATAACGATTATCGTTGACATAAATTGATGTTGTTGGCGTATCATTGTGCCCTAAATCATGGTTATCATTTCTGTACAGTTGTTTGTTTCGTCGATAAAGTATTTCTTCAATTTTTTGAGCTTCTATGATAATATCATCTACTGATTCACACCGAGATATTCCGATCATCGTTAATAAATTGTTTCTCATCTTACACATCAGGTGTCGGATGAGATCATTTTCTGTTTCATTCGGCTTTTGTTCTTGCCAGAGGGCACGAAATCGAACGATAAATTCATTAATTGTTTCATTTTCTTCTTGTTTGCAGTCTTTCCATTGCTGCTCTTGTCGTGCACGTCGGATTGGTGAGTTAAATTGATTGAGAAAAATGACCTTAAATTCCGCCCAAGTTTGTGGTCGTCGATTTGAGACGCGCAGTTGGCAGTACCATTCCAGGGCTGTGCCTCGAAGAAATTGTGAGATGCCATTGAGTAATAATTGTTCGTTCCAATGGTTTATTGTTTCTGTATATTCTTTGACTCGGACAAGGAACTGATGAGGACTTTCCATGATGCTTCCACTAAATGTTGGTATTGATGATGATGGTGGAATAATGATGGTGTGCGCTGTTTGAGCAATACGTTCGTTAGATAAGACTTGCCGTGCATTATTCTCAGCATGTTGTCTCTGTTCTGTTCCATTGTGTTGATCAAGTTGACCATTATCAGATAATTCCTCTATTGTTGATGAATTTCGTTCTGTGTGTGTTGTGGATATGTTTTCTTCTATTAATTGATTATGATTATTTTTTCCTAATGTTTGCATTCTAAGAGTTTCACAAATATTTTGTATTTCCATTTTCATATCTCGAAAATTGCCGGTCAGTTGCTCCCATTCTTGTTGTTTTTCTTCTAACTTTGACATTGTAGCTTTTTGCCACTCTTGTGTTTGTGTTTGAATAGCTTCTATCTGGTTGGTCATTTTCTCATGTATCTTAACGATTTCATGTGATAAATTCATATTGGTATTCTTGTGTTGATCAATCAATTTGTCATGTATTTCCGCCAGTTTTGTCTCTAGAGTAACCAGTCGTGCATTGTTGTTAATATTTGCTTCAGATAACTTTTGAACCGCCTGTTCGATTGTGACTTTTTCGGATGCCATACTTATTATTATTATTATTTATTTATTTTTTTTTTTTAACTTATTGATGATATTTTATTGTTTTACACCGTCTTATTCGATCAGAAGGTTGGGTTCAATTTGTCAGGGTCGCCATGTAACGATGGTAGATTTATTTCGTGTTTTCAACTCCCTTTATTTCGCTATTTCCTTCTCTTTTATACCTGCGTTTCACTTCAACGCGTTTCTATCAAGAGACGAGGAAAAACATACAGAGAGAGACATACAGAGAGATAAACAGATATCGCTGTATATGAACAATTGTGTGTACGAACGGAACACGATATTACATACTTACATAACTAACACCTAGAATAGGTGCCTACTTCGGCACAACGACACCAAGCAATTTTTCTGGAAGTGATCTATACACTGGTCCAGTTTGTCTAACCAACACTAATAATTTTAATGCGAACATCAGTTCTGCCTGGGATTTCAATGCACCTGCTTTCAGTCGCCCGGAAGATATGTTTACACCATATGTGTCAATCTTTTCTAACATTGACAATGAACGACATCATGAAAGGAACGAATCATCTGACTTGTATTAACTATAACTTTGAGTTAACATAGAATTGAGCTATTTTTAGATGATATGACGATTGATGAGGTGGAAACACAGCCCAACATCACGGTCAACGTGAAAATTTCAGAAAATATCAGTTATGATGAATATTGCCTTTTCAGTGATAAGACAGTACATGAGTGTGGACCAACTACTCACCGTGAGTTTTATAGATTAATGAATTCAGAGGTATATCTTTTCTGCTATCAAATAGTTCACTATGGCTGGTCGCGAAAATGTGTTACTTTTGCTAACCTCTCCGAGGTTGATATTCGATCGTACTTAAAACAGAACGAAATCATTTCCAAAAAGGAAGATGATAATATTGTTATGAATGAAAAAAACTTAATCGCCAATCGATTGCTTCGGAAAAACATCCTTGTCAATGATAGTATGAAAATTTGTCCCAAGCATCGAGGTTCTTTAGGTATCAATTGGTTTAATAAAGGCACGACGTGTAATCATCCGGAGTACGAGTCAAGCTACAATTCATCAATGAAAGAGTGTCGAAAAGCGAAGCTCACCACTTGCCTCAAGATTGAAGGTTTTCCAATAGGGGGCAGGTAAATTTGTTCTCATTCAGCGCTAACCGAAATGAGTTATCAAATTGCGATTTCAGATTGCGTTCAAAACACCGAAATCTGGTATTATTAGTCAACAATATCGCATCGATGATGAATGATGCCGTTTCTATTAGTGTAGCTTCTCAACACACAGCTGGATCTGCGTTCGTGATCGATGATCCACGAGAAACAATGAATCGCATCCTAACGGAAGTGAATTTAAGTCCAATTCGATTTCAGACAACTAAATCAATTACAAACCAGTCAAAAAGTGGCCTTCGTCGTTTAGTGTCCAAATTCACACGAGGGTCAAGAGCTCTTCAAGGTAAATTATGAATCAAAAGAAAGTTAAGCTCAATATTTAGGTAATTAAATTAATTTAGAGTAACTGGCTGAGACACTTGTGCCTGGCCAAGGTCAAGAACTAATTCAAATAGCTCAGCTTCAATCACAAGCTAGAGAAGAACAACAATTGCAACTATCAATGAGTAATGAAATGGTTCAAAGCCTCAAACAGATCTATGACATCTATGTCAACCAGAAGATGGCTTTTATCGAGCAAATTTGACTTCTTTCATTGTTACCTCGTTCATGGAAATATGAAAAAGTAATGAATATATTTGGATGTACCCGACATGCTGTCACAACAGCTCATCAAATGTCTGACGATCAAGAGTACTTGCTAAATAAGGACCAAGAACTGACCATCCGACAACGTGCTGATTCCGAAAAGATCAAACACTTTGTTAGCTGGCTTGTTGAAAGTAACATACTTGTCTCTGGTAGGGTCTAATTTATTCTTCATGCTTCTTTCTTATTCATCTTTTTTTTGTTGGCAGGCACATACGGCCTCACCACTTTACATATGGACAATGGAGAAAAGTTCGAACTGCCGAAACAAATTATACAGTCGCAACGGCCACATACTCTTGTAGATTACAAGAAGTACTGTGACGAAACTGGGTTTGAGAGTCTAGGAAAGAGTAAATTGTACGATATAATCGATAGCATCAAACCAGCACTACAACGAACAGTGGCTGGGCTTGATGAGTTTGTTGTCGAAGGCATAAAAGCATGGCGATCTCTCTCAAGTAAGGGAAAAGAATTCGGGTCATCGGTGCTGAAATCAAACTTATTTCTACTTGTAGATATTGTCAAGACTATGCCCATTCCTCAAGCTGATCGAAAACGTTTGGTTAAGCAGATCGATATGGCAGAGCAATATAAAAAAATCAGGCACATTGGTCACTGTTCTGATGATGCGGATTGTATCACTCACTGTAGCACGTTTGGTCTCTCTGATTCCAAATGTGCTGAGCATCATTCAAATTGTAATCATGTGCATACGGCACACTGTCCTGACTGTATCAATATTATTGTGACTCTCGACGAGATCAGTCAGAAAATCCAAAAGATTGTCGACACGGACATTGAACGCGAAACCAGGTTTGATTTTGAAAATGCATCGGAGCATATTGTTGAGTGGTCACGCCACAACATTCGTGCTGCCCGACAAGATGCCGAGAAGAAATCTGTTATTTCGCAAATGGACGAAGATGAAGCTTTCTGCACATTTGACTGGGGTAAAAACAAATTGCCTCAAAAGCATCAAGAGGCTCAAAGTACATATTTTGGAAAAAAATGAATGTCGGTGCTTGTGGGCTCGTTCATTTGGAAAGATCGAGTACCTAGACTTGCGAGCACAGCCATCACTACAATAAGCTTTTCTCCCCTTACATATTCTACTGAATCATATATTGTTGCCATAACTGATGCTGCACAGACAGAACTCGACACGCTCAGTGCTGGTGAGATCATTACTAAACAGTTCAAAACTGATCATCCTCATATTAAAAAACTCCACAAACGCACAGACA